AGCTATGCACAAATTATTGCACCAGAAATTGGGTGGTGAAATACTGAAGCCAGCGATGCAAGTACATCACTGGCAGATTTGGGACCCAAACGCCAGGCCTCTAACCTGCCCCTCACTTCCAGTACAAACTTCAACCCAACACTCCAAGTAACTGGTGGAATTTGTACTCACTTCAGTGACATGTCAGCACCGGCTCCTCTGTGTCGCGGCCGTCGCAAAGGCAGATGAGTGGAAATGTACATCACAAACACATACACAATTCACAGCTTTTCTCAAAACAGGAGCGCAGCCCGCGGGGGTTGCTGCCCGACTTGATGGCGCAATTAGGCGCTTGTGAGAGCCTGGCGGTCGCGGAGGTAGACAAAGCGACGGACTACCGTACCGACTTCGCTGACGTCTCTGGCAAGCTCAGCGCAAGGAAATAGTTCCCCGATCTTGGGTGTGTCCACTCAGTCAGATCAGTCAGTAAACATTTATTACCACTGTGAGAAATATCGTCGAAAAGTTACAAAAATTCTGTGAACTCGAATTATAATTTTAGTCGTAAATTTACGACAGCACATATTTTGTCTGTACCTCAAGGCAGTACTAGTTCAATCACCATTGCACCCTTTTTTTTATGCCATATTTTTTCTTATGTAAGGCCCCCTTTAGTCCATTTCTGGCAGTGTTTTATTTTTGTTACAATGAGGTGTAAAAGAAAATATGCAATTGTGAATAGAAAACCATGAATTGAGTGCAATACCGTACAGTAATATTTCCTGGGGTCCAACCTCTTAAACTTTTGTCGTTCAGCTAATGCGGAAGTTGTGACTTTGTTTAGTTGAAGAAATTTCAGTCGTAGTCATACCAGTCTCTATTAACAACAATATTAGAATTGCCACTCTTGACCATTAAAGGTAGATTAAATGTTGAGACCATGAAAGGAAGATTTTGCATGTATGCTGTAAAATTTAAGATATGAAGAGAAAAAAAGCCTTCTGTTTTGTTTTACATTTAATTTAGGAGCATATGAAATAGATTCAAATCTGTAGATTTATGCAGTGCAAAAGGTTTCATCACAACCAAGTAATTTATTTTCAGACAAGTTTCCTGTCTGACATGATGCCATGCCTATGGTGAAGCTATTAATCTGGATTTCATGCTTCTTGAACAAAAAGTGTAATCAGAAAGCCAGCAACTGAATCTTCTTCTGCTGTTACGCGGAGTTACCGATTGCTTGTTGAATTGTGCCGAAGAATTTCTAAATCCTTAACTGGTGACACTGGAGCAGTGTTTTTTGACAAATTGGTGTCAAAACATATCAGGAAATAACATTTGGTTGTCTCTACCTCAACCCATCACAAATTTATAAGGCTTTCAAAATGTATTCTGGCATTGTCATTTTCAAAAACTTTTTATTTAAGAATGACCACATTAACATTCCTAGCTGCTGTTCTGCGAATTTGAGGCTCCCAATATTTGCCCCACCACATTGCTCTTGTTTTTCTGGTTAAAATGACACCAGAACTAGATTTTTCAATTCATTTTTCACAAACTGCAACACTGAGCGACCAACT